GAACCGATTTCCTCTCTGAAGTTTGTAACTGTTTAGCATACGCTTGCCAACTCATAGATGGAATGAAGGAATGCCACTATGTGACGCGATTGATACTAAATTATTATTATTATTAACCTCTACCCTACATTCGACTTGGTAAGAATTACGTTACTGCGATAATTTAAGGCTACTAATTCAGTACCAACTGCTAAACAATTTTGCGAACATCGCTTAGGTTTAGCAATTTATATTTTTGTATAAATTTGGATTTTTTTTTGGTTTTTTTTTTTTTTATTTATAGGTTTTGTGGACATCGTTTAGGAATTTCCTCTCGCCACTAAAACCTAGAAGGATTCCATTGAAAATCGAATAGCCCTTTCATTCTTAACAAGATTAATGATGCATGGGCCATTCATTATGCTAATTCATCTTAATAGTGATAACACCCTTAATCTTATTAATGTTAAATCTAAACTGGATCGACTTATTACCTCCAGTCGAACTTTGTCAGTAATATGTGCATGATTTTCTTTGAAAAATTGTTACGTTGGATGTATAAAAGCAGAACACATCGGGACAAAAAATTAACAAATTAATTAGGCATTTAGGATTATAGAAGCGTTTTCATAACCAAAAATTACAGCTATTAGATTCACATTTGAATTTATGTTAACACTCATAACATTTTTGTTTACCTGAGTGTCAGCTCTTTCAAGATTGCATATAGCAATGTTGTACGGCTGAAAGGTGTTACCTTTAAAACACTGAATTTAAAACTTGCCAAGTAATCTTTATTTCTATTCTATCATATGACGTCGGGAGTATTAGGCTATGACAGAAAACAGTTATGGCGCTCGTCGATTGAGAAGCCCATTTATCCATGATAAGAATTTTGCTTTTGTGTCTAGCGCTTGTCTCTCACGTCGTAAAACTTCGTTTATACATCAGAATTTGTATTTCACCGTAAAAAATTAGTGTCTACATAAAGTAACTCGCATTTAACTGGTGATGTTTTAATAAATTTTTTAGTCAATATCTGAATTTCTGAATATTTTCGTGAAGATTTTCTCAGGTTTTGTATATAGACCGCCAAATTATTAATATAAGACCGTCAAATTCCAATTCAAGCATCATCCTTAATTTTCCTTCTATTTTCATACTATTAAAGAACCAATGTTGATATTTTTATAAATGAGAGTATTATTAATAAAAGTGTGTAATATTTAATTGCCACAGTTGCAAGACCATAACCTGCCGAGAAAGCACTTCAAGGGCCCTAAGAAAAAAGTGATGAACCCACGACGCTTGACACACAAAATACAGAGCAACTTACCTGACTTTGATGACCAGGTCTTATATCTTCCTCTGCTTGAATTACTTTGATTGGCTTCGCTCAGAAAAATTCACTTGGTTAAATTGTCCAATTAGTGACGCACTTTCTTGCCCATAGCACGAGCCGAGAGCGAATATGGCACTATATATAACACCCTTTGGCGTGTACCGCTATTTGCATTGTCCCGCTTATATCTCTGAGTGTATGATTACCATCTCAGTGTTGACACATTTGCTGGGTAATGCGCTTCATTTAATTCACCACGCGTTCGTTTTGATTACATCTCACCAGATTTTTTAATGGACATGATCTGCAAAACGTTGCGCTCAAGTCAAATTTATCATCCTATTTTAATTCATGACAGTAGGTATTAACTGCTAATTAAGTTTGGTAATTTGGATTAAACTGGTGCAGTGATATGACTTGGCTTTTTTTCCATGAATTTCTCTATAATTTTGCTCATGGTGTATTTGGGTCAATGTCCTAATTTTCGAGGTTAAGGTTATGATGATTTTTGGTTTAATTGGGAGCGGATGGTCGATTAATAACGATTTTATTTATAGGTACTCTTTTACTATATTTCTGACAAATATCAGTAGATCTGGCCGTATTTATGAATACTAATTGGTGAGTAATCCCATGAATTTATAGGTTATTCCTGTTATTCTTATGTTTATCATGGGAATAGACGCAACTCATTCGTTAATAAAAATTAAAGAGGAAGTAAGGTGTAATTCTTTAAGGGTTTTTAGGGATTTTTCTCCAATTTGGTATTCGTTTAAAATACGCACTATTTATTTACTTATATTCGATATTTTTCTGGCCATGAGAGCATTGAGGTCATTAAGACTCAGCTTCCTTTGCCACTATTGTGTCAGGTTCTGTCCATAGTCTAAGACTTGGTATTACAACTGAAATGTAGAGAATGACGTTTCTTGTATTCTATTTTGTGAGCGCGGAAAGAAACGTTTTCATGTTAACGCAAGAGGCATGCATAAACTCGGTTATTTTATTCTATATATGAGGCATTGGATGCGTGAAGTTTTTATGTGGGATCGGAATAGATACGCTGTTTTTTTTAGGTTTTAAATTCTTAACATTAATTTATTGTGTAATTTCAGCGGTGGATATTTTCCAGGGAGCCTAGAAATTTATCGAGCTTGGAGTCTATTTTTGATTTCATTTGTCCCGTTTTGAGGAGTTGTAGTACATAAAAGTTGTACACAGCGCCAGGAAACGTACGTCAATTGTTCCTAAAGTCCTGATCGAAGTTTAATTGTGCAATAATTACCGATATAATTAATTGCGTGTGCACTGCGCTACTATTTTCAACTCAACACGTGTGTTAGTCATCGATCCATTTGTTTATTTTGGACGGTTTTTGTTCCTTTTTGGTAGTAAATTTGGATTTAAGACCTCAGAAAATGATCGAAAGTTCAGTGAATGCTAAAACCTCTCTGTTTTGAATATTATTATCATCATTTTTATCATTCCATTTTAACATATATTAATTTATATGTTTTAATGGTTTATTTAGGCATCAAATTGAACTCAAATCCTTAGCTAGGTTAAAAAAGCTCTCAAGTAGGTACCTATTCTGAAGAAACTGCGTATTTTCCCGAGCTGGAGTTAATTGCGTATGTAAAGTTATAATTGTTTAGTTATTGGCTTAGAATTTATCTGAAGAGTGTGCCAGTGTAATAAGAAGAGGTGCACGTGATTTATCTAAAGGAAGAGGTGCATGTGATTTATCTAAAGGAAGAGGTGCACGTGATTTATCTAAAGGAAGAGGTGCATGTGATTTATCTAAAGGAAGAGGTGCACGTGATTTATCTAAAGGAAGAGGTGCACGTAATTTATCTAAAGGGAGAGGTGCACGTGATTTATCTAAAGGAAGAGGTGCATGTGAAATTCCTCGATTGGAGACGATGCAGGCTTATTCCAGCGCACTGCGTAACTTTTTTTGCGTATGCAAAATCGTTTAACTTTAAAGAGTGCCGTGGTCGGTATATATTGTTAGCAAAGGCTATAATACCGTACTCTATTATATTTCTATAGGAAGCATTGAGTTTAATAGTAAAATTTGTGATGGTAAGAGCAAACGGATCGATTTTGAAGGAACTAAACTTGCAAAATGTTTGTATTGAGTTGATGTCTATATGTTCAAATGCCGTGCGAAGTTTGGTTTTGTGGTGCATAGCTGTTTTCTCGCGCTTTTATACCTGCAGTATGTCACGTTTAATTATTGTTGTTTATATTGTTATCAACAATTATTATTATTATTTTGTTTGCTTGGTTTTCTAAAGCCAACCCACACCAAGCCTAAATTGATCCTTTCAACTTAATTCCTATTTTTTAAACTTTGTCCAACTCGTGAAGCTTTTTTTGTTGTCTCGCTCTTTTGCTTTATTTCGCTCCCATCATGAATGGCTTATTTGCTATTTATGTTCATTTTTGAGTTGGTGAATAGGTCGTGTGTGGGAAAATTTATTTTGGTAAACATTTTAAATGTTTTTTCCCCGTAATTTTATGTTTTTCTAGGTTATTTACAGGTGAAATTTTACTTGATTTATTTTTAAGTAATTTATCTTTCTTATTAATTTGTGGAGAAATTTGGTGATGATATTCTACAAAATTCGAGAGTGATATTTTTTCATCGTTCCTCTATAATAATAGTCTTTTATGGTTTGTACAGAGTCAGGATGTGATAGATAGGCCGATTTTGCGAGCTATACAAAGTCGTTCTTTTCACGAAATTAAAATTTTCAACTACATATTAAACTTTTTGCGATATTTTCGATTTTTATCGGGCCTTACTGGTTCTTGCCTGATGCGATTGCTACTTAAAAAAAGAGTGATTGCTACTTAAAAAAGAGTCAAAACGCCTTTTTCACTTCAACAGACTTCACATAACAAATATGTCATATCGCGGTTTTAACATTAGCTCTGTTAGAGTCATTTAAGTTGTATTTGAAGTCCATGCAAGCAGGTTTTTATGAATTTTTCCTTACACTGACGCTATAGAGCCTTGCGCTCGCCGATTACCAGCCCTATTCCTTTGCTTTAGAAGTGACTGCAATTTTTGAGTCATTTGATGCTGAAAAGCCGCAGTTTCGTGTTATAATCTAGGCTGATTTACTGGATATCAAGGTGGCAGTGATTACTTAATTATTAGTAATTATGATGAATTTATATGATTTCTGCTGGTGATAAATAACAGCCATGGTTCCTGATTGCGTCCGCCATATCAGCAATATCGCTAAGCGGAGACCCGTGCCGCTTATTATTTTTTTCATGATGACATTCGATCAATTTAAACGCTCATTTTTTCTCCCGAGACCATTCTGTTTATTTTTATCAATACCTACTTTGCTTGTTGCGTTCTATATAAAAGTACGTTTTACAGATTACTCGAATACATACTTACCGTATTTGAAATTACCGATCTCCTTTTCCAAATAAATATTGACTTGTATTACTCTTACTATCGATTTCGATGACTACTAAAATCTATTTTGCTCATCGTGAAACTCACCTAGAATGCATGACTTATTTCAATCAAAAAATAAAAACTTTATTAACGTATTCTGTTACTGAATTAAAATGAACTTTGTTTCCATCAAATAATAAATGTTTTTATTCACGTATTCTTTAAGTAAATTAAAAAAATCTTGTGTGCGTGCAGTGCAACGCGAAGAACATCCGCCTAGTCACCATGAACAACTTGCTGCCTTCCTCTGTTAAGATGCATCAGAAGTATGATCTCAAAGGCTCCACTTACAAGCGCAAGGTACGTTGTCTTCAATCAAACGACGTTTAATTACCGTTTATTCAACGTAATAATGTTTTATTAACGTCAATTCAACGAAACAACGTTTAATTCTACGTTGATTCGACGTCAGATGTCTGGGTTACAAGCGTAAGGTACGTTGTCTTAGCCCTCGTCCTACGGGTAAATAACAAGCAACAACGTTTAATTAGCGTTCATTTAATGTAACAATGTTTTATTAACGTTAATTCAACAGAAGAACGTTTAATTCTACGTTGATTCGACGTCAGATGTCTGGGTTACAAGCGCAAGGTACGTTGTTTTATCCCGAGTAAATGACAAGCAAACAACGTTTAATTAGCGTTCATTCAACGTAACAATATGTATTAACGTTAATTCAACAAAATAACGTTTAATTATACGTTGATTCGACGTCAGATGTCTGGGGGGGAATTCAACTCATTCGTGTAGACATGTTAGCCTTGTAAACGTTTAATTAACGTCAACACGTTAATTCTGCAATAAATTTACAGTTTTCCTTGTATAAAAGTTCGCAAATTTATCATCAGACTGTTCATCAGTTTACTTCATGAATGTTAAGTTCATCAGTTTACTTCATGAATGTTAAGTTCATCAGTTTACTTCATGAGTGTTAAGTTCATCAGTTTGGGTGAGTGCCTCACAACTGTCGGGTGAGTGCCTCACAACAGTCGGGTGAGTGCCGCATGACTGTCGGGTGAGTGCCGCATGACTGTTGGGTGAGTGCCTCACAACTGTCGGGTGAGTGCCTCACGACTGTCGGGTGAGTGCCCCATGTCTGTCGGGTGAGTGCCCCATGTCTGTCGGGTGAGTGCCGCAGCTAGCATTCTTGCCAGTAGTGGACGTTTACCCGCAGTATTTTCTACGTGTCACTTGCTCAGTGTTCACCGTCTAGCTGTTCACTTGAAGCTGAAGGGAAGCTAAACGGCAGGCGGCGTATGAATTTGTCGCTGCACTAACTCCGTGGTCGCTAGGCAGATAATAATTAGGCAATGATAACTGAAAGCTTAAAGCTTTATGTACTACCCCATGTGTCTTGGGTATACATTGAGTTTTTGTTACTCCGGGTATACTTAGTATATCCGTAAGAATACCTGCAGTACGTATTCGTTCTCAAAGACCGGGTTCACACCATACTGCCGGACACATGCCAGGCATATGCCAGTCACGGTTCAGTCCAATATTCTTTAATAAATTTCCATGTAAGCATTCACACCGTGGGCATGGCATGTGTCTTGCACGACTGGTGTTAATATTTATATATAGAAATTCATTGAAGTATGTATATTAGACTTGACCGTTACTGTCATATTGGTGTGAATGCTGCTATAGAAATGCAGTGAAGAATATTGACTGGACCGTGACTGGCAAATGCCTGGCACGCCCCCGGCAAATTGGTGTGACCTCGACCTTAAGTATCTATATTTACAGTGTATATCCAGCAAGTATCCAGTATATCCAGCAAGTATACTAACAGTGTTACTTCTTGCAGGTATTAGCTTCGTTCAAGATCATGGACTACTCCTTGCTAGTTGGCATCCACAATCTGGATCTGGCGGCGAGAGAGAAACAGGTTTGATAATAATAATTCGGCTCGTAATTCCGTCGAATATAATGCACCATTGAAAATTAACTTATTTTGTTTATCATTGTTTGGTTTCTGAGTTGAGCCAAAACGTTATTATCGAGCTAATTGCTATTTAACAAGGCTAATTATCTTTCCCCTGTGTAGAGCGATTATATGCGTTTATAAAGTACGATACGCGTATTTTGAAAAGAGTTAGCATAGAATTATACATTTATATAGACACGATTCCAATAAATGTTTGCTCAAAACAACTAACTATATACCTACAATATTCTAAAGTATATGATGTCTTTATTTTAATCTCCATTTCTCAACGAGTCAAATAATTACTCATTGATTCCATTATTGGGTAATAATTCTACTCGCGTAAGACCAGGAGAGTAATGATTAATTATTTAATTAATCAATAATTAAATTAATTATTTATTTCATTATTGGGTAATAATTCTACCCGCATACGACCAGTAGAATAATCACTAATTAATAAAATGATCATTATTTAAATGAATCAATAATTTAATTATTGGGTATAATAATTGTTCCCTCGTACGACCAGGAGAGAGCGAACGGTCGTAACAACGGCAAGAGCGGCGCCGGCGTGGGCGCGTCTGGCGGCTGTGGCGGGAGTGACGATGACTCTGGCGGGTCAGGGTCTGATGGTGGCGGTGGTGGCGGTGATGGCGGTGGAGGTGATGGTGGCGGGGGACTGAGCAGAAGCCGAAGTATCAACAGGCAGCGACTGGTGGCACACAGCACCGCCATGGAGAGCATCCAGGCCGACGCTGCTGACCCTATTGATGAGGAAGATCATGTGCCGTGAGTGGGGGTTATGAGGGGGACCATGTGCCGTGAGTGGGGGTTATGAGGGGTACGGGCCGTGAGTGGGGGACCCACGTGTCGTAAAGGGGGAGGGCACTTGTCGTAAGTGTGTGTGTGTGTGTGTGTAATTACCCTTTTTGGCCTATTTTGCCTGGTAGTGGTGGTTCAGTCAGTTTTTCCGGGCACTTGGTACCACTGGTAGTTCTACGACCATCACTGGCTCGCTGACCCGCCAGAACCATTTGATTGCATTACACAACACCCTGGACAAGCCAGGTACTCATTTATCAACCAGAGTTGGATGAATGGCTGAGTTGACCAACAGGAAATTGAGGAGAAGCAACTAGTTCGAGATCTCGGAGTGTTGATGAGTACTGATGTCGATACCCATATCGAGGAAATGCCCATATCGAGCCGGCAAAGGATGGGGTGGATATGGCGGACATTTCGAACGAGTCCATCCCCTCCCGCAAACAACAGTCCAACATATTGGTAAATTATTATGCTAGCATCAGTCATCTACCCAAGCATAGGGCAGACAGACATATTTACAGGCGCAAACACAAATTTCCACTGGCGAATAACTACATCTTATCCACAGCATCAGACACCTTACGTGTCATAAAAAAGCTCAAAAATTCTTCAGCCATGGGGCCAGACAACATCTCAAACATTCATCTGAAACATCTCGGCCCGCATGGTATCATATGCACTCTCACAAATATAGCCAACTTTTCATTTGCCAACTGCATCATACCATCAATCTGGAAAACCGGCAAAATCATAACTCCCCTGAAACCGAACAAACCCCCCACCGAGGCAGCCTCCTACAGGCCCATTACGCTCCTCTGCACACCATCCAAAGTTGTAGAGCGCCTTACACTCTCCATAATCACGCCTCATATTCCCCTCTCACCCACACAACACGGTTACAGAACCCATCACTCCACCACCACACTCCTCACCAACCTCACACAACGTATACAAGATGGCATTAACTCCAAGCGACCTGCACATCGCACACTACTGATTACAATTGACATTAGCAAGCATTTGATGCCATCCCACGCTTCCCACTCACGGATAAAATCTATAAAACAACACTGCATAACAACACCAAACGTTGGCTTGCCAACTATTTAACAGGCATTCGTTCACTACAATGGCAAATCATCACACAAAAAACATACCAAAAAACACATACATACAACATCTTGGCTAGGTTCCCCTCTCAATTGTTGTCTTGACCACCACTAGTCGATGGTCAGACAGTGTGGTCTCCTCAACACGAATAACAGCAACCAGTTCTTCATTGCTGGTGTAGAATTGATCCAGGATATTATGTTCTCTCGTTGGCACAAGAACCTGTTAGCTTAGCAAGTGCTCCCTAGCGAATCGAAGTAGTTGTGTTGCCTGGTTTCTGGTTTGATTTCTGCGCCGTTCTGCACAGTCCAAGTTTGGCCATCGTATGTGTGGTAGGTTAAAATCTCCCGCAACCACAATATTTGGGGAAGGTTCATTGAATTTTCAAGGAGGAATGAAAGGAAGGTTCGTTGAATTTTTGGGGAAGGTTCATCGAGAGTTTCATTGAATTTTTCAGGCGGGCAGTCAGGCGGTCGGTATACGATAGCTATGCACAGATGGAGATAGGGGATGTATAGTATAACATGTTCCACATATCCATTGGAGCCTAAATGCAGGAAAACTGTTTTTGCCGCGAGGAAGTTTCTGAGGTAGACTATAACGCCTCCTATCCTTCTCCCTTCTTTTCGATCTGCTCGGTAATGTTGAAAGCCTTTCATCTCGATTTCTCCATCTTGGATATCTTCTCTTAGGTGTGACTCGATTAAGGCAAGCATGATTATTCCTTCTGTCTCAGCAATTTCTTTAAGTACGCCGATCTTGTGGCGTTTTCTTCTTGGGAAGAGTCCCTCTATATTAGCTATCATGATGCTAGACTCTTCCCTTCCTTGCGTCCTTAGTTGCTGTAACACTGCACTGCCAGGGGTCTCTGACTCTGCAGCTGTTGCTGTGATTTCTGCTGTTGTTCGTGCAATGTCAACAGCTGCTGCATTTGTTGTTGAATCTGATCTACTTGCCTCTGTAGGCCTAAAAAATTGCTGCGCTTGATATCGAGTCCTGTTTGTTCTTCTTCACTCCGGTAGGTAGTGTTGGCCGGTGCGGAAATTTTTGGAACTGCTCTGTACCTTTGATTTCGATAGATTCGCCCTTCCCAGAACTGATTTCTTTTTAACCATGTAATTTCTTTCTGATGTTTTAGGTTTGGCAGTATAATCTATCCTGTGTTCCGAGGAGGAACTATCAGGGTCACGTCTCTCTTCGGCATTACCACTCAATTGCAGGTTGAGTTTAAGGTGGCAAAACCGACAGGAATCACGTTTGCAAGCTACATTTTTAATAATATTCCAGCATAGGAACGAATGGTAATATTGACAGTCTCTCCCGTTTTTGCATCCGCGTTGGTTTTTGCTTCCAAATGTTGCAAATTTTTGACAGATCTTAGGGTGAGAATAGTTACAGTTCATTTCTTCATTCTCCCCATCGCACTTGCCCTGAAGATATCTCCAGCAAACGCGTTTCTTAACAGTTAAATGTTTCTTGTTCGAGGCATTTAAAGAGGAGAGGGGCAACTCTACGGTCAAGGGTCGGGGTAGGCGGATCATGTCGGGCAGCAGTGAGGGATGGGGGGGAGGAAGTAGAGGGAGTAAGGGGAGTTGAGGGAGTAAGGGGAGTTGAGGGAGTAAGGGGAGTTGAGGGAGTGAGGGGAGTTGAGGGTAGCCGCCTCTTAGTCGAACAGAGAGACCCATTCATGATAGGCCTTCTTCTCTCGGACGCTTGAACCGTCTGCACACTCTCCATGGCTTCTTTCGCCCACCTCTCGTTCATAACGCATTTTCTACACATGAATGATGTTCTCGTTTTTAAATATTTTTCAAGTTGGTATTCTGGAAGTAGTGAACATTCGAAGTGACAAAATTGTCTGCATGTGTTACATCTTAGTGCCAATTGTCCAAAATTGCATTTTTTTGCATTCCAGACATTCTCCGGCAGGTTTACTAACACAGACTTTGGCTGCCATGTTTTACAATCAATTGGTAACTCACTCACTTTTTACTGACTTTCCCTAATTCCAGACTATTCACTGGAACACTCCAGTATAGTATGAGTCAACAGAGTTAAATCGTACTCAATCTTCTCAATCAATCGTTACCTGGAACTGTACTCACTGGAGAGAAGAAGGAAAAGGTATATCATACTGTACACGTGGAAGATGATAAACGGACTGGCTCCCAACTTTGAGAGTGAGACCTCCAAAATAACGACATATTACAACGAAAGAAGAGGGAGACTGTGCAGGATTCCCCCATTTAACAACCGAGCCGCGGCCAGAGTACAGACTCTTCGTGAGGGATCACTGTCCGTGGTAGGACCGAGGCTCTTTAATGCCTTGCCAAAAGCGCTGAGAGGAGGGGAGTTTACCCTTGCAACATTCAAGAGACAACTGGACAAGTGGTTGAGCAAGATCCCGGATTGTCCAGTAATGGGAAACCACCCTCAGCAAGTGACAAGCAACAGCATCTTGCATCAGCTCGCCCAAAGGAGGGCTAATAGACGGAACACGTCCAACGTTACATCCGACGACGATTCGGAGACGGAGGACGACGAAGGCGGCGCATCAGCGTGACCGTGGACTAGGACGTCCTAAACTCATCACAAGGTCACGCTAAGCCTGATGAAGTGAGGGTGGACATGGAGGCCGCGGCCCTGAGGGGGGCGCTCGTGGCGGCGGGGGGCGTGAAGGTCGAGCCGACGCTGTCCAGCCCTGACGACTACGAGCCTCACGAGTTAGTGAGGCAAACTCGTGAGGCTCGTAGGTGTCAGGGCTGGACACTAACTCCAACAGTGGCCTCACCCCATCTCACTCGGCAATTACCTCCTCGGATACCATCCCCTCCCGCAAACAACAGTCCAACATATTGGTAAATTATTATGCTAGCATCAGTCATCTACCCAATCCCACACAACACGGTTACAGAACCCATCACTCCACCACCACACTCCTCACCAACCTCACACAACGTATACAAGATGGCATTAACTCCAAGCGACCAGCACATCGCACACTACTGATTACAATTGACATTAGCAAAGCATTTGATGCCATCCCACGCTTCCCACTCACGGATAAAATCTAGAAAACAACACTGCATAACAACACCAAACGTTGGCTTGCCAACTATTTAACAGACAGACAGTCATTCGTTCACTACAATGGCAAATCATCACACAAAAAACATACCGAACGGAGTACCCCAAGGATCAGTCCTCTCACCAACACTTTTCAACCTTTACATGCACGACATTCCAGCCCCACCAGACAACATTCACATTTCGTCTTACGCAGATGACATCACAATTACATCAACGCACACCAATGCTAACACATGCTCTACACAAGTACAACCTTACATCACACAACTAGAGAGCGGGCTAGCACGCAACAGACTCAAAGTTGCCCCCACCAAATCATCGTTATTTTTCAGAGGCCCCACTGAGGCACTGATTTTGGCCTTTGATCGGGCATATTTGTGGAAATATTGGGATCCTTTCGAATGTGGGACGTAAAGGACTGCGTGTCGGAAGTGTGGGACGTAAAGGACCACGTTTCGGGAGTGTGGGACGTAAAGGACCACGTGTCGGGAGTGTGGGACGTAAAGGACTGCGTGTCGGGAGTGTGGGACGTAAAGGACCACGTATCGGGAGTGTGGGACGTAAAAGACCACGTTTCGGGAGTGTGGGACGTGAAGGACCACGTGTGGTCTTGTACTATTAATAATTATTATAAATGTAACGAACTTGATATTTCCGAGAAACTGGGGAAAAAAGTTTAAGGAGCTTGACGTTGCTAGCCAAGTTGACGTGCTAGGGTGCGTTAGTGTCGCTAGTTCTTGAACATTAACTAGCGTAGCCTTGATGGGGGGTGAGCTCCCCTTGGTGTCTCAGTCGCAACTCTGAGCAATTAATTACCACTAATTATGTTTATGTTGATGATTTATTCGTCATAAATGATGACAATTTTTAGGATTATTTCTTCGTCGATTACCTATGCAAACATAAGTGCTGATGGTATATTAGTATTGTGATCATTTCTTCGTCCATTAGATGCTGATGGTATATTAGTATTGTGATCATTTCTTCGTCTATTAGATGCTGATGGTATATTACTATTGTGAATAATGATAGTAATAATAATATAATATAATAGTATTGTGATTAATAGTAGGTAATATTTATAATAAGTATTGTGATTAATGTTGATGTATGGCAGGCCTGGGGGCATTCCTGCGAGGAACGTGCGAGGCGAGCGCCTGCTGCTCTTCCTCGGCATCATCGACATCCTGCAGAGCTACAGACTTAAGAAGAAACTAGAGCACACCATCAAGAGTATGGTGACGGACGGGGTGAGTGGTGCACACCATCAAGAGTATGGTGACGGACGGGGTGAGTGGTGCACACCATCAAGAGTATGGTGACGGACGGGGTGAGTGGTGCACACCATCATGAGTACGGTGACGGACGGGGTGAGTGGTGCACACCATCAAGAGTATGGTGACGGATGGGGTGAGTGGTGCAGTGCACAACATCAAGAGTATGGTGACACTGTAGAAGCAGTGAAAGGTTAAATATGATTGATACTTTTTTTTTTTATTTAAGTCAAATAAAAATATTTTATACTTATATTACTAAACCTGAAATTAGAGCACTAGTGCGGAGCTCAAATGTGAGACCGCAAAACAATCCAAGTACGGAGGTCTGATGATGAACAAAGTCGTCAGATATTGAACAAAGTTGCCGATGTATATTGAGTAAAAATATTGAACATTAATCATTGTTATGAATACTGAATATGAATCCCTCCCCCCGTGTCGTGGTGTATGAGCCCCCTTCTTCCCCATGGTCTAAGTGTCCAGGGCCTATACTTTCAAAAAAAGTTAAGTGATCGTAAGTTCATCAGCCAATCAATGACGGCCTTTCAAGCAAAATCCACCAATCGTAGACGAGAAAATAGGACGTAAGTATTTACGTTCACTTAGCGAGTTTTGAAAGTATTGCCACTGGTCTAAGCCCCCCATGTCCCCAGGACACGATCTCGGTGCACCGGCCGAACTTCTACGCGCAGCGCTTCCAGAAATTCATGGCTGAGCGCGTCTTCAAGAGGATACCGTCGCGTGAGTGTCTGCTCTTATGTATCCTCTAATGCTGCCCCCTTTGCCCTCTTGCGGTGCCCTCACTACCCTCTTGCGGTGCCCTCACTACCCTCTTGCGGTGCCCTCACTACCCTCTTGCGGTGCCCTCACTACCCTCTTGCAGTGCCCTCACTACCCTCTTGCAGTGCCCTCACTACCCTCTTGCGGTGTCCTCACTACCCTCATTCGGTGCCCTCACTACCCTTTTATATGCCTTTAATTATATGCTATAGTGCCTTTAATCCGGCAAATGTGCTTTCAAGTTTCCCTAATGATGTCCTTAGCATGTCTCATCTTCTATTGTACTCAGGAAGCCAGGCTCACTCATGTAGATTATATGTTATTATCGGCGAGACTTGAAAAATAAGTTAACTTTGAAAGGAGTGCGGTCTTCAATATTGAACAAGATTGTTATGTTGCTGCAGGGTTATCGGAATTATTGGTATGCGTTTGGTTGTTCTCGATATCGTTTGACCTAACGTCTATTATGTACAGCGATTGTTGTTATGGCTCTTATTGCTGTTGTTTCTGAATTTGCTCTTGTTATAGCTCTAGTTCCATGACTTGTTGAAGCTGCTATGTTAGTCTTTTTTAGTTCTCTTGATGCTCTTGAATATGATTAAGATTTTCCGAGACTACATTTTTTGGAGGAAATCTCCATTCAGTTGAGAGTAACCGCTTTGAGGTAGGAGGATAATAAGAGGATCTTAATGATAGGCGTGAGAGGATAATGCTGAGGTTGCATTGTCCAGCTTCTCTAATATTTGTGCAATGATCGTTGTGTTGTGATCGCAATTGAAAATTGTCGTTATCGCAATTGATCGCATTAAGATCTTTGACAGCGGTTTCTTGCCTGGTCATTTGTGTAATTGGAAATAACAAATAATGTTCATTTCTTAGAATAGAATTGGTATTTTTTTCTCTGGAGCCGTTTTCATTTTTTACTTTACGCATTTGAAAATGCAACAGAAAAGAATTTCGTTTGACGAAGTTGTCATATGGCCATATTCTCTTTTATCGAATTTTCCGATTAAATGCACAGCCAAGGTCGTTTTTGTGATCGTTCAGTTGAATTGTGTTCAATTTAATTTCTCATGTTTTTTTCTTAGTTATCTATGGCATTTTATCTTGGTTATCAGTGGCGCATGAAACTTTGCTAAACGCGGCATATTTTTCTGGTTATCAATGGCGGGTATTTCTTAGTTATCAGTAACGTATTTTTAAGGGGTTATCTCTGACGTATTTTTTCGGGGTTGTTACTGACGTTATTCATTTCTTGGTTAATGCCGGTTATTGTAGCTAGGCTTATATTTATCACGCTGATTTTTTTTTGTGGCACCTTGTTTGATTTTAGGCACGGTAAGTTTATTATTATTATGTCTATTATTACTAATTTATCGTTGATTTTATTTTGAGATAATTTCAATACTACAGAATTATGAGTGGATTGACGTAACCTACTTGAGCGTTTACTTGAATCCTTCCCCTGACATCATGATTAGTTCATAACAGATTTTATTCAACATTTAAATTTAATTTGAGTTTGTATACGTGCTTTTGTTTGATATTATTTGAATGATTAATTGACTGTTATAAAGTACTGCAGCTCAGCCATACCAGCACTTCCATATTCCCCCTTGACGTGTCACTATCTTGCATCGCTATCATTGTTCATTTTTACTAAATAATGTGTTGAACCTTTACATATTTACCCTGGGTGTTATATTTATTTCTTATTACATAAGTTTTCCTGTTTTCGAATATGCATTTTTTCTGTTGTCTAATACTCCTGTTTTTGCCTTTCTATTCTTCACGACAACGCCTTCACTGTTCTCTAATACTCGTGTTCTTGCCACTCCTTTTCGTCTTCACTGTTCTCTAATACTCGTGTTCTTGCCACTCTTTCTCTCTTTTACAATACCTTAATTGTTCTCTTTCCGTTTTCCCCATTTCTTTGCCTAGATTCGTGATTTTTTCACACCAACTTCCCTCTAAGTTCTAGTATTCAGTTTCCACTTTATGCATATTTCATTACTTTATCACATTGTTTATCCTGATTTTGTTTGGTTCGTTGCGCACAAGAAAGACTTGTCCCCAAGAACCGGTGGCCACTCGCCGGCAAGTAAGTTTCGCGAAGAGAAGCTATGTTTTCATCGTATCCTAATTTCGTTCACACTTTTAGTTGCTATTTTGTTTGCAAATGTGAAGTTAATCGAATTTTCTTTATGATTTTAGTTAACTCGCTGTTTTATTTATTGCCCAATCCTTTCTTGTTGGTTTGATGTATTGATTTGGTAGAGGCAAAGTAGAAGTAGGTAGATATATAGAGTGGGCCCCTTGCTTGAATTTTCCTTATAGTACACAGTCAGCTTATAAATGAATGAAATTTTTGTTAACACATTACGAAACAAGCGTAATATGGCAATCAAAGCTTTCAATTAGTTTTTTAGTCAAATATTTAGAACTATCTAGTCTTCAGTCTAGTAATGTCAGAATGATCAACCACTTATCCGGTATCATTAGTACTAGTATTATATCTCAAAGTTCTCTTTGGATGCGATCATTATTGTCTTTCATTTCTAAGGACTTCAAATGCAATCTTGAAACTTTTGTTGCTCTAAACTTGGACCTCAGCTAGGAATTAAGCCAATATTATGGCCACACATAAATGCAAAGTTTTAAATTACAGACGCAAAAGTTTCGTCAAGTTCGTTTGGGATCCCTGCCCACGGAGGAAAAATCAGAAAATGGCGCGTGGATCTCGTTCAAATTCATACATTCCTTCATTTAATACTTGCTATTGCGTCTTGAGTTATTCCTTGCAATGGACTACACTTGAATCGTATTTATTATTTCTTCATTGATTCGTGTTGTTTTAAACTTGTTTTTATTAGCTTATATCGTCGTCACTCGAATATCTATGTTTACACCTGTATGTTTTACACCTGTCTATGTTTACACCTTCGACTTATTCTGAATTAAATAAAAGTGTTCCTCTGTTTATTAGGTTCTTAGAATATTTACAGTTATTTTAATAATCAATATTGGAAATATTATTATATATTTCCTCATGTACAATTTTTTCCACAAAAATATTTTGATTTTCCAAGACACTTGCATTCCAATTTTAAAAAAGGCTGAGAATGGATTTAATTCATTTGTGCATTATTCTCTGTTGGTTTTCAGTCTCATGTTGAACTTTGGGTTTGAATTTTCGAGGGTTGTAGACTTTTTCTGTCCTTCGGATGTCCATACTTTTCTGATTCGTCGGTCGCAGAATATGTATAATTGTTCACGTTGCATTCCCTGTGACATTTTCCGTGATCGACTCGCCTCAACCGCCGCACTTAATTCTCTGAAAGTTATTTTCTTACCGTGATAAATCGTTTGTTCATCATAGCGTTTTGGAGATGTCTTATGATGCGATGTCTTCACAGTGACGGTGACCAGCGTGTTGACTTCATCAGTATTATTTGTTAAAGGTTAATGGTATTATCTGTTGAATTTTCTTTGACTATCATCAGTTTTACTATTATTGCGAAGAGGGTTAATAGTCTTTACCTGTTGAATTTTCCTTGACTAGGAATTCCCTGTACATCCCTGTAGTCTTGTATCAACATTACATCGTTTCAGCGGTATATATTTCCACATCCAAAGTATTCTTTCTTGAATTTCTATCAATTTTCTTGTTCTCGGTTAATCGAGAATTTTGAAAATCGAAACCCTAAAACGATTATCGAAAGTGTTCTCTTTATAGTGGTTCTTGGCTGATATTGCTCATTTTATGCTATTACGCATACTCAGAGGGATATGTGGGTCAGGATTTAGCACTTACGTGAGTCCAGCTCCTATATTCAACGTTAAAAACACTACAGTGCGTAATCCTGACTCACTCATTGATGTGAGTGTACTCAGCTGGATCACACAGATGGCGTAGGCCTGCTACCTTGTAGGCATGTTCTCCCTGTAGGCGTAGAGCTGGGGATGATAGTGCACCAGTATATTGGTGGATGATAATGGTGGATGATGATTGATGTTTGGCCGTTGTTGTTGTTACTGCCGCTGCTGTAGTGGACCTGCCCGAGGTAACGGGCCAACATCGAAAATTCCGCACGCTCGTCTCCAGCTACATAGGTACGTTGACCCTGCATAACCTGCATCATGCTGCATCACCTTGCATGAGTCTACTTTAACCCTACATGATTATACTTGATCATGCTTAATTATAAATGTCCCTACATAGACAGACATACAGGACCCTACACGACCTGCATGACCTTACTGATATCACATTATTCTGTACGATGATACGTAATTTTATTTTATTCTTCATGGCTTTATCTTGCTTTTGACGTAGGGCCCATCTTGGGCCCACGTTGCCACTTCTTGAGCCCGACGTTGTTCCCTCTGGGGCACAAATTTGACCCATCTTGTCCCCGCCATTGCTCTTGCCCTATTTTGGGCCGGCATTTTCCCTTCTTGGGCCCGAATTTTTTCCTTCTTGGGCCCGAATTTGTCTCGTCTTATCCCCAACTTTGCCCTATTTTGGGCCGGAATTTTTCCCTCTTGGGCCCGAATTCGTCTCATCTTATCCCCGACTTAATTGGCCATATTTTGGGCCCAAATTTTTTCCCTCTTAGGCGCGAATATGTCTCATCTTATCCACGACTTCGCCCCATTTTTGGCCCGAATTTTCCCTCTTGGGTCCGAATTCGTCTCGTCTTTTCCCCGACTTTGCCTTATTTTGCGCCGGAATTTTTTCCCTCTTGGGCCCGAATTTGTCTCATCTTTTCCCCGACTTTGCCCTATTTTGGGCCAAAAATTTTCCTCATTTAGGCCCGAATTAGCTCCCTCTCAACGTGGTGCGCTCATGGGCTCACATGGCTCATTCTTGGGCCCGAATTTGTACCATCAGGACTTGGTCCCATGATCGTCTCGGGACACCTTACTTTCCCCACGACTTCCCCACGAAGCTGCTCACGCATGCTTCCCCCAGACGATGTATTTTCCGGCTAAATATTCCATCACTACGCATGTCGTGTTTTCTGTCTGACATGCTCCACCATTCTTCATTATACTGCTTTATAGACTGTATTATGTTAAACCAGGCACTAACTACTCAAAGTATATGTCGTGCGTGTTCGCCGTCTATTTTATAATCTCTTTTACATGAAGCTTGCTTAAAATTTTTTAATTTATCCCCGTTGACTTTTACATTATCAATGTAAATATTACTTTGCAAAGTTCATTACTTTTTTGATGCTCTGATGAGTGAGCGACTTTTCTGAAATATTTTACATTCATTTTGCTGGTTGCAATACTTGAGGCCGTGAATTTCCATCCAGCAAAAGATGAAGTTTTAATCACATTTTTTTTTATTCTAAAATCTAAATCATGTGCCAGAACGCGGTGTAATTGCATATCATGTAACGTTATATATGTTAATTTACAACTTTTATAGTCTAATTTATAATTTTTTCCGACTTCATAAATTTTCATTCAAAGTGAAAAATTTTAAAATTGAAGTACATGTTATGTTTGTGCGTTCATATCAGCGTTTTGTGTCTCAACAAACTTGTTTCCCATCTGATGTTCACTACTGCACCAACACACCAGTCTGCATTGAGTCTCATTCTCTGTTCTTGTAATCAATAACATGTCGATAACGATGATTCTCATGAATAAGTTGAGTTTGTAAGTCGTCTAATCTTGTATAGAATACTCGTAGACGACAATGCTGCAGCGTCCACTCTTAATACTAATATTTCCGAATATTAATATTATATATTTCCGAATATTAATATTATATATTTCAAAATATTAATACTAATATTTCCGAGTATTATTATTATTTCCGATTATTAATGGTAATATTTTCGATTTGCGTAAAATCAGCAAGTCATGTTGTGATGTTGACCAAACCATAGAAGATATGTTAGGATCTCTTGGCATTGATGTACGTTTGAAATTCACACCTGAAAAACTAGGAAATGTTTGTGGATTTTTTGTATATTTTGCTTTGCTTTGTATTTAGCTCCTCACATAACGTTTTATACGACGAGTTCTACTGCGTACATCACACCTTGTAATTAAATATATTTGTATTTGTACCGTGTCTGCTCAGAAGTTATTTAATTTTTTTTTTCTCGATAACATGCGTTCTTTTACAAAATTAATGGTTCAATGAAGAATCAGTTATTTCCATGCAATATTCATCTACGATATTTTACCAATTCGCATGAAACTATATTCTATAATTCGATTGAAACTTGACATAATTTGCATAAAATTCATCGAACAAATCAATTATACTCTATCCGCTGTAGACCAGCATTTTTTTTGCACCCTGCACGCATTTTTCTCCCGCTGATGTTCCTAATTTTATTGTCGCTTATTAGATACACATACCTATATGCCTTGCTACCTGTGTTCTTAGTTTTATTAGATTATTTGAATGCATTCTTCTCAATACAATATTTATTGACATGTAATATATATGTGCCATCAGCTGCCACTGACAGCTTTTAGTATACTTGAAAAGCTCTATAAATTTCACTTACAAATTAGGAATGTATAATGTGATCTTGTTTAAATTGATTACTAAACTGCATTAAAGTATACATAGAAAAATTACGAGCATTGCAAAAAATGGGGTGTAAATCTTCACTGAGTGAGAAAAAAAGACTCACTTTTTTTTCTCTTTTCAGTGAGTCTCACTTTTGTGAGACTCACTGAGTGAGTCTCACTAAAAAATGAGTGAGACTTTGTCCAGATAACGGTGCACTTCCATTGTGTGAGCCATCCTTACTCAGCTTAACACAGCTAAAGGCGCATCAGTCCGCTCTGTGCTCGTGCTGTTTGTGAAAATGTGCGTCGATATTTGGTCAATATGAGCCGTTTATTTTTCTTTGCTCTTTTCTCTGACACTAAGAAAATTATTTATTAAAATTTACTGTTCTTTTGGATCAGGGTTCGTTCATTGCATATACTTGCGAATACGAATACTCTTGCATTCCGAAACAACTTTCGTGACTTCAATAAAATAGTAGAAAATATATCATACCGTACTTAATATATTGAAAATGTTATTTGACTCAAGCACGCCTCTGCTGCAACCTTTAAATTTCTCTTAAGCACGCATGAGAATTTTACAATTTTCTGTTGTTTTAGAAATAAAAAAAATTGTTTTATGCTCGTTACTTCCTTCTAATATCACTTAGATGACCTTCAATACAATGATATTATTCTTATAAATAATTTAAAAACAGGTTTCAGGGCTGCCTCTTAAATTGTTCAATGAAATGTTAATATTGAAAATTTCGTTATGAAACTTAATATAATTTGTAATAAGTAATTTAATTAGCTCTCAAGAAATCCCACTGACATTATCTCATTTATTGGCTATTCTTGTTTTATTCTATTAACTGGTCAGCATTTGCGTGCTTTAACAATAAACATAACAATCGTAAGGTTTGATGTTGTTCAACGTGTGGCATGTAAGTCATATGGAACACAATGCTTGCTTCTAAAAAAGTGATAATTTCGAAATGGTGTGAGAAATTTTTCCGACCATTGTTCATTTTTGCTCTTAGTTGATTTTGAAGTATTAGTTGTCGCTATGTCGTTTATATTGTATTTTATGAGTTTTTCCTCACTATAGATGAAGGATATCATATAGGGCTACGTTTTATTTCACAATCTCTGCACAAGTTTCTTGGGATAGGTATTTCGTTCTTGTTGCTCCTTAAATTTTCTAAGTTAATAAATATTTAGCATTGCTCATGTGAAAAATTAATGGTCACTTACAGCAGAGCAATCATGGTCTGTGGGCTAACGAGATATGATGAATTGAATAACAATAAAATATTACAGTAATTGACTGAAGTGAAAAACTTGAATGAGCATATATAGGTGCATGATATAACAGCGTTATATTTCAACTCGGACGCTAACCAATCCAAACAAGTGCCGCCCACAAATTTTGTACACCAAAATTAATATTAATATATATTAATTAATATATTTTTATCAATATTAATATTTCCGCCGATCCGATAGCGCGACTGCAAATTTTTACAAAAACGAGCGGCGATCGAAATGATTTTCTTGACTCACGTGCACTTCTCCATCGGCTCCTTCTTGATATTATTGTCCATCATTTGTCATTCTTATTTATTTTTACTAAAATCTAGGTCCATAAATCCAAACAATGTTCGAGCAATAATGTTACTGTGATAGACACCAATGGTGTTGGTGACGACAAGAGTTACGAACACATCGATTCTTGGTCACGTTTGAATCGGTTGTTGGTAATGCCGGGGGTAAAAGATACAGACATTGTATCTTTTACATTAATTGTATTGTGAATATAACACATTTTTAATTGTATTGTGTATATAACACACGTAATGTTGTTATATACACAGCGCTGCGACACTCGCCTTCCCGTCGCCGTGGTACATCGCTGCGCTTCCAGAGACCGCACTCTTCTTCTCATCTCTTAGACCCTGGCACTGCTGCTACTGCTACTGTCACTGCACGCAGTAATTCTACTGCTACTACTGCTGCTGATGTTGTCACTACTGCCACTGCTTCTACAGCGGAGGCTGAGCTCAGCTCCACAGCAGAAGCGTTGCCAGACTCTGAGTCTAACATCCACAAGCCTGAGTCTGATCGAGGTAGGATTCTCCGCTCGCTGTCCCCGCCTGGTCTTATTTGATATCTGCATTTTATTATTAACCTTTAACTCTGCGCTTTATAATCAGCCATTAACTCGGCGCTTTATAATCAGCCATTAACTCTGCGCTTTGTGATCAGCCATTAACTCGGCGCTTTGTGATCAGCCATTAACTCTGCGCTTTGTGCTCAGCCATTAACTCTGCGCTTTATGATCAGCCATTAACTCTGCGCTTTTTCTGCGCTTTGTGATCAGCCATTAACTCTGCGCTTTGTGATCAGCCATTAACTCTGCGCTTTGTGATCAGCCTTTAACTCTGCGCCATTCAACCATTAACCATGCGTCCAGGCGTCAAACCATTTTCCTTGCGTAATGTTATTACTTCACGTTACTATCCTGCGCTATTATTTTTTGCTTGCAGTGCTGCTCCAGCTACTAATGTTAAATATTGTTGCATTTGATTTAAATGAACATTAATCCAGCTGCTAATTTTTCTCTGTCGTGCCAATGTGAGGGCAATTGTTGTTGTCCCAGGCTTACTTTGGAGCTTATCAATTTTCACTTATGATTTACTTTAATGTTTCCATTTTGTTCTGGTTAAAATATATGTTATTGAATTATCCATCGTTATTGTTATAACGGTTTATTCGTTACCTACGTGCGGAGCGATCGTTTTTATTAATTTAATTACCTAATTTTATTATTGCATAGTGTTATTACTTTTATAAGTTTAATTCCACATCACCATTACTGCTGGTTGTTTTTTAAACGGAGGTTTGTCTTCATTAATTTTTGCTTGTGACAAAATTAATGGGCCCGAATTTAGTGATCTTGACTAATCTAATTCAACTAATCATCAGTGATTTTGAGGTCAAAAATATTATTTACGGCTGAATCCTGCTTTGATTTCTTTTAAATATGGCGTCTCTCAAGTCACGGTTCCATCTTAACGTACCTAAATGCTTTAAGTTTCATCAAAGATTTTTTTTTGTGGTGGTCTTGCTTTCGTTGTTTCTGTAGTCGTCGTGCTAAAATCGTTGCAATTATTTTTTTACGTCTTTTGAGAATTTTTTTTTACAGCATCAGATATACGTTTTTCTTGTTTATTACAGGTTGGACGTGTAATGTTTTTTATGATTTCCATATTGATCATTTATTATTAGCAATACTGGTCCTTATCATCCATAAAATCACAATTTGCTTCATAAGATCATGAAAAGCTTCTTGTCTCGATTATGATTTGGTCAAAAATTAGTTATTCGCGTTTTTGCCCAAATTAATGCGTATTAAATATTTTTTGACATGTTCTTCTATTGACCAAGGATTTAGCCTTTCTAACCACAACTCTGATGATATTTCTCATACAACCAATAATATTTTAATTACTTTAACCATATCGCTACTGAACAATATGCAAATTCTGTTAAAGTTCTACTTCACTGTTTTTTTTTCTAATTAATTGAATTGAAGTAGGTAAATTATTTAAATTAGTCAGTCTCTCTTACTGTGAGCGTTCTTTAAATTGATGATTAAAACTATAGAGTAATGTTATTTCTACCATCTTGATGATTAAACTATAGAGTAATGATATTCCTACCATTTAATTGGTGCTGGCAATTCTTGTATTACAGAACATGCGTTTGAAGTTCACATCCTGAGTTTATTGCAATAGTCAAGGAGTGGGTTTTTCTTTAATGCAAGTTTGAATGAAGACGAGATAATGTTTTTTGTTAACAATTTGTTCGTTTTCTGTGAGTTGTGTGTATTTTTTGCTGACTTTGGTGCATCGTACAGCAGGTTTACATTTTTTTGTAAACCAGGACGGCTCATTTTATTTTTTCAAGTTTATAATAAAATTTCTGAATTATGTTCAGTTTAAGTAAAACGTTAACATTTCTACGATGCATTATTTGATTTCGTGGCTCTTATTATTTTGTTCAAAGCCTTGCACTGATCCGTCTTGCATCTCTTGTATTACGGAGCTTCGTCTGATCCGGTTAAAGTGTTTACAGTCGTCAAAGTGTTTACAGTCATTACAGTCTTCAGAATCTGACAAAACATCAGATGTTGTTGAAAACTTGCGTTCCTTTACGTTTCCCGATACCGTAATTTATTATTCATTTTAACTATTTTTGTTGTCGGGAGGCTACAATGAAGATGGCGATAACTTATTATTATTATTTTTAAATTAGTTTCAAGCTTTTTTGTCAGGATTTCTATTATTCTAACACAATAATAACCTATTAATTTCCTCGTAATAGAAATTGAACCCTAAGAATTTTTTAAGTAAAAATTTTTTTGGTTTTATAATATATAGTGATTATTTAGTTTATGTTGAGTGGTATCATTCGTGACATTCAAACACTGTCATTCATGGCTATGAATGAACTAATGTTAAATTAATTACCTAATTAATTCAGTTTGCTCAGCCCTGTGTTGATTAATCTCGATATTGAAATATATCCTTGATGGATTTGTACATATTCTAAATTATGATTACAATTCAACTGACTGAAATATTGATTCGGCCTCCTAATACGTTTGAAGCTGTTTCTTATTTCACATTAGAACATTTATTTATATTTATTTTTCAAACATATATTTCAAACCTTATATGCTCAACGCGTCGCTCCTTAACTCAATTCGGACAAAATTCATCAACATTGATAATGAATAGAAATTTCCTGAGAACTTGATATGGATTATTTTCGAATTTGTGCTATGAAAATTAATTCTAATTAGTTTTTTTGCACAATGTTACTTTGGGGTTATTAATTTTAATATTAGTTAATCGTTGTTAAGTATTTTTACCGATATTTTCTTGGTGAATGTTGTGAAAGCCATTTTACTGTGTTCAAAGGCGCCGTTCATAGTGACTGACAAGTCACTTCACACAGTCTCGTTTAATACGAAATATACGGCCTACATAGAACCTTTCATAATAGTGAAAACGATTAATCCTTTCACTCGGTCTAGTATAGTGAATGAATTGTATAACCTGCTGCGAACCTTTTAAAATAGTGACTTAAGCGTCACTTGTTTTGTATTTTCACCATTTTTGTGTGTATTTTTAGTGATATTCACTTGATACAGTCGAGATTTTAAGATTGTTGACCATTTAGTATGTGGAATCTGAATTTAATTTAATGAATTTAAACTCACGTAATACTCATCACTTTTGTTTAATGCTAATTTACTATAAAATGCATCAAGTAAAAAGATGAGCAAATTTCTGTATCTTTCTATTTTAATGCTAATTAAATATAAAATGAATCAAATAAAAAGACTTGAACAGCAATGCGCAAATTTCTGTATCTTTCTATGCATCACGAAGAAGTGATAACAACCATCACCACCACCACCACCGAGCCATGCACCAACGTCACCACCACGGACCCTGGTGGCCTCACCACCACCACCACCACCACGTCTCCCCCCGACGTCCCCGTGGGGGCCAAGGACCCCACGGGTGGGGCGGTGAATTTACCGCGGGTGTTGCAGGACCGTCCCCTCCGGGGCTCGTCTGCCCGCCCGCCCCCTCCTGTGCCCCCGCGGTCCCCACGCACAGCGGGCCCCACACGGTCCGGTGCCTCTGTGGCCTTTGCCCCGCCTTTCGTCAGAGGTATTCGGTCCTCGGTCCCGTATTTGTTTTTTTTTTCTTTTCATTAGTATTCAGTCCCGTTCCTAGGTTCCGTATTTGTTGTTTTTTTTTTCTTCTCAAAAGGCGGCCTAAGTCCCGTATTTGTTGTTTTTTCTTTTCGTTAGTATTCGGTCCCCGTTCCCAGGTCCCGTATATGCTGTTTTTTTCTTCTCAAAAGGCAGCCTAAGTCCCGTATTTGTTGTTTTTTCTCCTCTTTGAGGCGGCGTTCATTAAAGTTTTGGTGTTATTTACATTTATCTATATGTACGACTAGAATATTTTTGTTCGAAGAGTGTGATATATTTTATTAACTTCACCCCGATTAACTTCAGATTTTTTTATTAGTTATTGTTGATTTGTATTCATTGAGGCGGCGTCCATTATCGTTTTGGAGTTATTTCCATTTTTCTATATGGACGACTAGAATATTATTGTTCTGTTTGAGAGTGTGATATTTTTAATTAACTTCACCCCGCAATATGTGATATTTTTTATAGTTATTCTTGATTTGTATGTCTTATTATGGATTCGATTTAGTTTAAAATATAGTATTATTATTATTTAGTGCGATAGCGAGCCGAATTTTCATTCAATAAAGTATTTATGTTGGTTGCCCAACCTGAACCTTTGTTGCCTTTCACCCACTGCACCAGCGTGTAGTTCGCTACTCGTACTCACTAGTACACGTAATGCTAATAATATTACCACTATTACAGTCAGCCGTAGTGTTTTTATTACATTATTACAGTCAGCCGTAGTGTTTTTATTACATTATTACAGCCTGCCATTATGTTATTATTACATTGTTACAGAGCCATAATCTTATTTGAAACAGTCAGCCGTAGTGTTATTGTTATCACCAATACATGATTATAACAATACAGTTGGCTGGTAATGTATATTTTTTCCTTATGTTCCTCTCTTAAAAGCTCAGTTTTATTTTTTCCTTGCGTTGTATGGAGTGCTGAGGCGTTCATATTGTTCATATCTTGAGTTATTATCAAGTGAAGTGAACTCAATCGCTTGTTTCCCTGTTAACTTGAGAGTTTGATGTTCCTAATATATGTTCCTCTGGTAATAGTTTTTTGTAGAAAAATTTTGTATACGAAGAAAAATAGACGGCCAGTTTTAGTTATTTTTTTATGTATAGACCTGCTTTACTCGCCCAATCAAAAGTTTTTGTATCGTTTACGTTTATTTATCGTGTATCGTTTGTTTAAATAATAAGTAAATTGATCGTATTTCAATAAATTATTGCCAATTGGCTTCTATTTATTTATTAGCATGTTATCAATTTTTTTTCTAACATTCAGATGTCTGTGGCCAAAGTAGTGATGGAGATGGTTCATTTTTGCTATATTTTTGTTCCTGTATTAAGTTTATTCTAATCGAAAATAAAATTAAATGTTTTGAAAACTGTAAAATTCACTGCTTTTCTATATAACTCATATTCAGGGTATACATATTTGCAATTACTGTTTTTACATCACTCCAAAAAATACAGGAGATAATGAATTTAATAGCAGAGATAAATAGCATTTAATAATTTTTAATACGGTACATAAAAATGGTGGAGATAACACATTTTCATTTAATATTTATTGCATTTGCGTACATACTCGTTGACAGTTAAGCCACTTTTCTTGCCTTTTATTCAACGCATTAATTTAAGGTTAATTTTGTTAATTATTTCTGTTTCTGTTAATTATTATTTTTTCATGGTAGTTATATAAGGAATTTTTTTTTATTTTGTAGCGCTTATCACTTCCTGTTGTGCGATGCTTGATTGCAGTGATACAATACTCAGTTCTGCGTCTATTTAATAATTCATAATCCCTTGCATTTACAAACCAAATGAATAATTTGTGTTGGAATTTTTCATGCCCAAGCATTTTCTCTAGTAAATGACAATGTTAGGTAAAGTTTTGATATGCAAGGGCTTTGTAATTGTGATAAAAGCTAGCCGGCCGTTCGTGCAGATTTTTTTAGCGCATTTTCTCATTTATGGAAAAAAATACACTATTGTGCTCGCCATGTCCGTCTGTCTGTCCGTCTGTCCGTCCGTGACTTCAAGTTTTCGTCGACGAGAAAATGCGCTCTCTGTCACTCACTGCAGTGAGTACTGAGTTATATTTTTTTTCTCAGCTTTCCCGGATGTCTGGTTGGCTCGAAAGTTATTCGCTGGTTTTTTAAAATCATTTGTAATTATCCTTTAAGTTATTTTCTTTGCCGAAAATCTATGATTAAGTATAATAATTTTTATTTGCTGGCCGACAACTACAAATCCTAATCACCTTATACTAATTCTTTTTTTTTATGATGGTTTTTCTTAATATTCAATTTAATTATTATTTATACGCTTCGTGATATTTATATTCCTCGATTTATATCCATCTCGGCGACATATAAAGATAATTCGATAGTATTATGGTGAATCAAACACCACTTCTCAATTATGTGCCTACATTTATGCCGGGAGGCGGAACAAACTCTTAAGTGACCACTAAAACTGTAAATTTGTGCGTATAGCGAAAATTGTAAAAAATTCTTATCTAAAATTATTATGTACGTAATATTGCATTTTTAGCTGACGTATTTTATGCTCTCAAGTTAAGAGCGGCCTTATTATCCTGCTAGAAATCTTACCTAGTTTTGTCCTTGTATTCATTATTGTTCAGCTTAATTTTGACTGCTTGTATTTCGCCTCTTAATTTCTGCCTTTTCGCTTCAATTGTAATCGCTAACCTGTTCCTGGCTTATTTTAATCGTAAAATTATACCTGTAATTATTTTATTTCAAGTTACTTTCCTCATTTCTTTTCCAAATCTACATTTAACCTTTCCTTTTACTGTCATAATATTTTCGTATTTTCCCTGCAAATTCCACCTCATTGAATTTTTTTATTGTATTGTCATGAATAATATTTGTTTCTAACATTGCTTTGGTTGGACACATTTCACTTATTCAACCACACTATGATTTTGTGAACTTTTTCATCATTTAAATTTCTACATGAAATCTTTTCATGATTTTAATCTCATTTGATCAATGAATCTCTCATAGAGGCCTTCTTATCTCCAGTCTATAGAATTGTTTATCTCGATACTCAGAGCGAGGTCAATTATATTGATTCATCTCAGTTAATTATATAATTAATTCAACACATTTTAATTGGTCAACTGGCGTGCACATTTTCGTTTTTTTTGATTTGTGTAAATTAGTAGATTTCGGCTTATGTGAATTCTATACTCAGATGGGACTTTAATCAATTCCATCTTTTTTAATTTTATTCACAGATGGGACTTTAATCAATTCCATCTTTTTTAATTTATGATCAGATGGGACTTTTAATTTAATGGATGGGACTTTATCCAAATATCGATTAACTTCTTGCCCCTTTTGGAGCTTCAACCAGACCCACTATTACTCGGCAAAAAGGGCGTATCTGTGCTAAAATGTTTCGCAATTTGAACAATATGACCTATGAATCTTTCTTAGTGATAATAAATATGACATAACGGGCGAAATTTGGTGTGACTGTGGTGTTGTGGTGCAGGTGGTAATTGTTTGTGTTGTGGTGCAGGTGGTAATTGTTTGTGTTGTGGTGCAGGTGGTAATTGTTTGTGTTGTGGTGCAGGTGGCAGTGGTCGTGGGTCTGAGTCATCACCACACAGCGACAGTGTGGTACCCACATCACCACCCTCATCCACCACACTCAAGTCTTCCCTGCACCACGTACGCTCCTCTCACCATCACGTCACCACCGTCGCCATACAGGAAGATCGCACCGACGTCGTCAGGTAAATCAATACTCACTATTAATATGAATTTGCACTATTTAAATCAGTTTTTACTATTAATATCAATTCCACTATTTAAATCAATTCTTGCTATTAAAATGAATTTCCACTATGTAAATCAATCCTCACTATTACGAATAACGCCACAATATGGTTATATGCTTCTGAGTTATGTTTTCAGATCTTATCATATATTTATGTTTTCATATCTTAATCATATATTTTATTTTTTATATCACATCATTTATTTATGTTCTTATATCTCATCATATACTTATGTTTTCATATCTTAATCATATATTTATGTTCGTATATCATATCATTTATTTATGTTTTCATATCTTTTATTTTCAATATTTTTTTCAGTAGTTTCCATTTTTAAATTCACAATAAATTGATCTTCAGCATAACTTTTAACATTTTTTGATTTAATTGAAAATTTACTATTTTAAGTTCTTGATCGTAATTCGATGTTGGCAATGTTGGCCAGCCGTTTATTGTGTAACCTGCTGCCATATGCGATCATTATACATTCGATAATTTCATACAAATATTATTAAATATCAATTAATGGAGTTTCACCTCCTAAAATTTTGTATACTGCTTCCATCTATTTCACTATTTTACACGTTTACTTTTTCGAATCATTTATAAAAAGTTAACATATGCCAGAGAAGTTATTCAATTATGACTTGATAATTAATAAATATAATAAATTATTATTTATTACCATCGCCATGTCGATAACCCTCCAAGATATTTATACCTATCACCCTCCATGAAATTTATCTTTATGAAGGTCATTCATTTCATAACCAAACAATTCGGGTCATTGCTTAAGCCTTCTAGAATTTTGAGTTATTTTTGTTTAAGATGTTTTTTCTACTAATAATTTATTTTATCTCGATACTTTACATTGTTATTTTAGTAAATTTAATTTTGTATAATTTTTTTCTATACAGCTCATCAATAATTTCTTTAATTTTTCCGTCTCTCTTTTCTTCTTATTTTGCAGTTTTAACATTTTTTTCCTGCATTTTCTATCGTTTATGATTATGTTATGAAAGTATACATGTAAAAAAGTATACCAGTATGAAAGTATGCAAGTACGAAACTATACAAGTACGAAACTATACACGTACGAAACTATACAAGTACAAAACTATACAAGTATGAAGGTAAACAAGTATTAAACTATAAAAGTATGAAGATATACAAGTATGAAAGTAACAAGTATGAAAGTATGCGAGTATGAAAGTATACAAGTGTGAAAGTATACAAGTATGAAAGCACGCGAGTGTGGAAATATACTAGTGTGAAAATATACAAGTGTGAAAGTATACAAGTGTGAAAGTATACAAGTATGAAAGCACGCGAGTGTGGAAATATACTAGTGTGAAAGTATACAAGTGTGAAAGTATACAAGTATGAAAGCACGCGAGTGTGGAAATATACTAGTGTGAAAATATACAAGTGTGAAAGTATACAAGTATGAGAGCATGCGAGTGTGGAAATATACTAGTGTGAAAGTATACGTGTATGATACATGAAAGCATACATGTATGAAAGTATACATGTACCAAAGTGCCTATACGGTACGTGTATGATACATGAAATCATACATGTATGAAGGTATACATGTAAGAAAGTGTTCGAGTCTGAGAGCCATCTGTCCGTCTTCTCAACTGGCTGAATTATTTCATTTTTGCTCTAATTTTAAACTTGCTTTATTATACAAGTTTTACGTTCTCTATCTATATTACTACTATTTTCAGTGTTTTGGGCCCTTATGATTTTTCAAATATTATGCTTTTATTTACTTTTATCTTGATTATTATTTCGAATTGTTCATTGCCACGGGACATCGCTTAACTGTTCCTACTTAAGCGCGCTGGCCATATTATCTTGATTTGTTGTTTTCTGGGGATTTTACGGTTGTTTTTTTTACATTTTCTTGCCTTGTTGAGGTTTTCGCTTCCGAGTTTTTCGTTATATTGTCCGTTGTTCATGCAGTCGTTCTGGCGTTTTCAAGTTACTGGAATTTGGCGCTCGCGTTGTTATGGTTCGTCATACTCGTATGCGAAACTATATTTCCCATTGCGCAGATTTAAAAAAAAGAGTAAATGTGAAATTTTTTCCCAATTTAAAGTGGACCAGTTCTGATGTTTAGGATAAATTTACGGTTCTGAAATTTGTGAAAGTTTGCACACTCATTTTTTTACATCGAGCCCCTTTCTTATGAACCCCCTCTTCATCACAGCAACCCTTCTTAACCCCTTATGACCCAATATAAATTTCTTACAGTAAGTCTTTATAAACCCTTTGTATATATCCGCTGCACTTCCCCTCCCTTGTGCACATAAGTTAATTATTGTCCTGAACGTCACCACGTATTATTAATATTATTAATTAATCGCGATACCACTCTTATAATTACCATCGCGTTACCAACCGTTACCTGGCCATTACAATTTTAGTTGCTCTTTTCTGAACTGCGGTATTGTTTTTTTTTATTATTTTTTCATTTTTTTTAGTTAGTAAACTCGTCTTGAGAAATAATTTCCACTAAAAAAAGATTTCGATCAGGTTCCTGGAAATTGGAAAATACATATTTCTTGAGTTTCGCCATTTTCAGTTTTTTCGATTTTTTAGAAAATTATTCCATATAACGATTAATTCTGGAATAATAATTATTCCTCTTTGTATTCCTTATTATTCCATCAAAATTAATAATTGCCGTAGAGGTATCGTCTAATAGTTATCTTGATATTCAAAACTTTTTGTAGTCCCAACGCCAACAAATTCTATTCGCCCTTTTAAAGTCTTTACAGTTAATTTTGTTCGGTAGAAAGCATGAGTTTAGGTAATAATTGTCATGGTTAAAATCCTCGACTGACACGAGTTCAGGCACTTATAGGGTGCTATATTTATTATCATTTAAATCTATTTTATTACATTCAAGTAGAGCGATGCTTCTAAGATGAATTGTGGCTGGGTTATGAATCGGTTTTCTGGTTTCGTCACTTTTGTTGCTTTCGTTCTCGAAGAGAATTTAATTTTCACATGAATTTCATTTTCATAGAATTTAATTTTGTCGTGAATTTCATTTTGAGAGAATTTCATTTTTCTTTTGTGACTGCGCACGTTGCTGTGGCTAGGTTCTGAATCGGTTTTCTGGTTTCGTCACTTTTACTTTCGTTCTTGAAGAGCATTTAATTTTGACATGAATTTAATTTTCAAATAATTTAATATGTGGTAAATTTCATTCTTGACATGAATTTAATTTTGAGAGATTTTAATTTTGTCGTAAATTTCATTTTTGACGTGAATTTCAGTTTGAGAGAATTTCATTTTTCGTTTGCTTCTTCGAGTAAAAATTTTTTTGTTTCAGAATGAACCTCGAATTAAAGTTTTTTTGTCTTAGAATGGGCAAGTTTTTTGTTTTAAAATGGGCACGTTTTTTTTTTTGGTTTAAAATGGGCAAGTTTTTTTTTTTGTTTAAAATGGGCAAGTTTTTCAGTTTCGAAATGGGAATTTTTATTTATTGTTTTGTGAGTGCGCACGTTGCTGAGCGGGATGCGCTTGTTTCTTGCTGTACAGAAAAGGTGCGCGGTTGCGCTTTAAGGGGGTGGGGGAGCCTGAACCCCCGGAGGAGGGGGGTGACACCCCTGCTACCCTCACCCGCTACACCTCCAACACTATCAGGTACTATCAGGTGCCTGCAGCTGATGCTTGGCTATCAGGTGCCTTGAGCTGATGCTTGGCTATCAGGTGCCTGCAGCTGATGCTTGGCTATCAGGTGCCTGCAGCTGATGCTTGGCTATCAGGTGCCTGCAGCTTGGTATATCACCCTCTTATTCATTTGACTTTACGTCTCTTGCTATATATTCTCTTTGCTCGCAACTACAAGACTCACTTATGCTTTACGACCCACTTTATAAAAGACTTTTTAGCGCATTTTCTCATTTATGAAAAAAATGCACTATTGTGCTCGCCATGTCCGTCTGTCCATCCGTCCGTCTGTCTGTCTGTCCGTCCGTGACTTCACGTTTTCGTCGACGAGAAAATGCGCTCTCTGTCACTCACTGCAGTGAGTATTGAGTTATATTTTTTCAACGTTGAAGCCTCACGTCAATAATCATATCATTCATTATCTTGCACTATGATATTTAATGAATGATTCTAATATCATTATTTGTTTCTGCGTAAGATAGCAGCTAAACTACATAAATTTATGACGAGATTATAATGTAAATATTGTTTCAAAACCTGTCATGAAATCAAGCACCTATTGATTGATTCTGAGCAGAAACTCGAAAGAGAAAAGGTTTCTATCATTTTCTTACTGAAAATTTGCCTTGCAATCTTTAAAGTTTCTGCTCGTATTTCATTTCAGGATTAACGTAGTGTAAGCCTAATTCTTGTTCGCTTCAATTGTTATTCTCGGTTCTAAAATCTGAGAACGAAAAACTTTTTCCAACGCTATAGGTAATTTTTCTCTGAGTTTACTAAATACGATATTTAGTGTTAATCCATTTTTTCCTTCATATTTTGATGATAAATGAATTGACAATTAGTTCAATAAAAGTAAAAAAAATTACTACTACTAAACTACTAATAGAACTACTAAGAAAGTAGTTTCATTAGTGACGTCTTCTTCGAATTATCCGGAATCAGTTACTATGACTAAAAAGTCCCAGAACATAATAACTCACTGTTCAAGTTAGGTTGAATCCCAGTGTTATTCCACTGTTGAATTACATTCTCCTGCTATCCTACTATTGAATTTGACTCCTCTGCTTATTCCAGTATTCAATTACAATGTAAAAAAAATCACCGTTGAACGGTCTCACCGGCGTTCTAGTGGCCGGCCGACACGTGAAAATAAACGCTGTATGGCCGTTTTTATTTATATTTAACACTAGAAACCCGTTTACATCTGAAAAAACGGATAAACGGTTTATTTTCACGTGGCTGCCGGTCACAAGAACGCCGGTGAGACCGTTTTTCACCGTTTTTTCCAACACTGTAGGTTCTCCTAGTACTCTGCTGTTGACTTAGACTCTCCTGAATCCTGATATTTCACCGTTGAGTTAGATTCAACCTTTTTCCATGTATTCATCCCTCTATTCCCCTCATCATCCTCTACCCTCTCTCTCTCTCTCCTGGGTCAAGGTTTAGGCCTCCTTTGCACTCCTCGTACTTTCTTAACCCTCTACCGCCGTATGTCACTCTCCGGGAACATAACTTTCAACTTAAATTATACGTAAAATATTGAGTATAGCAACCTGAGGACGTTTGTACGCAACAGAGAACATTTTAAAGTAACTTTCAACTTAAATTATACGTAAACTATTGAGTATAGCAACCTGAGGACGTTTGTACGCAACAGAGAACATTTTAAAGTTGTCGTACGTGACGGCAACCATCAGTGCAAGTCATTTTGCGCTCACTAGAACGTATAATTTTTGGTTACTCGTGTCAGGCGGTAGAGGGTTAACACGTTGAATGAGGTTCGACTCAACAGGGCTACCAGATGGTTTAAAAACGGCCAAGTCCGCGCGGACAAAATGCCTATAATTCAATATATATTACTATAAATTACTAGGTTTCGGTGCAAAAATTTAATTTCCTTTTTATTTCTATTTTGTCAAAATTTGATAAGGTAGCACCGATATCATGAATTTTGTCGGCAAACGCAATAAAAAAAACAAATAGCGGAATTTGTCCGAAAAAAATACCCTGCAAGCCACCGCTGGGTCGTGTCGCATTCAACGTGTTTACAGCCTCGGTTGGCGCTCCTGGCATTTGGTCGCTTTTTTTTATTGTGTTCTTTACCTGAAGGATAAAAACAATCTTATTGTTCATACCCTGAAGGATAGGCAATCTTATTATTCCTTCCTTGAGGGATAAAACAATCTTATTGTTCCTACCTTGAAGGATAAAACAGACTTATTGTTCCTACCTTGAAGGATAAAACAGACTTATTGTTCCTACCTTGAAGGATAAAACAATCTTATTGTTCTACCTTGAAGGATAAAACAATCTTATTGTTCCTACCTTGAAGGATAAAACAATCTTATTGTTCCTACCTTGAAGGATAAAACAGACTTATTGTTCCTACCTTGAAGGATAAAACAATCTTATTGTTCCTTACCTTGGAGGATAAAACAATCTTATTGTTCCCTATCTGAAGGATAAAACAATCTTATTGTTCCTACCTTGGAGGATAAAACAATCTTATTGTTCCTTACCTTGGAGGATAAAACAGACTTATTGCTTTTTGATCTCCAGTGTAATTGTTTCTTGCTGCAACACAATTATTAGTTTGCCTGATCTCCAGTAGCAAGTTTGTCATTAAATCTGTTAACTTAATTTCGTGTTGATAGCTTTTTGTTTTACGTTTTCTGTGTTTTGTTTGTTTACTGGTTCGCTTTTACTTATTTGAGGAATCGATTGTGTTTGCAGTTTCCAGGGTATAAAATAAATTACATTGTTTGCTGATTTTTGTTTGGCTCTTTTCGCTCTTCTGCTTTTTATAACAAAATTTTCCAATTAGTTTTGAAGTTTTCTATTATTGTATTCAGTTGTTTGATTTTATTGCTCCAAGTTCACAACTTGTATTTAAGTTTGCTTTTCTTCTTTTTTGGCAATTCCATGTCGATTTTTTTCTGATTTGCTGTGGCAATTTTCGCTGCAGATATTCGAGATCGATTTCCCCGCACTGATTCCCCCCTAATTCCCCCTTTTCCTCCCAATTCCCCCTTAATTCCTCTTAACTCCCTCCAATTCCCCGAAATTACCCCATGTTTAATGCCGTTATAAGTTCCCTCAACTCAATCAACTCTCCAATTCATCTCATCTGCATTAATTCATTTACAGTTCGAGCGCCGCCACATTAACTTCGAATCAAACTTATATTCTTGCATTTCATTATCTTATAATTACGAAGATCACGTCAATAATTTACATTTCATTATCTTATAACTACGAAGTTCACGTCAATAATTTACATTTCATTATCTTATAACTACGAAGTTCACGTCAATAATTTACATTTCATTGTCTTATAATTACGAAGTTCACGTCAATAATTTACATTTCATTGTCTTATAATTACGAAGTTCACGTCAATAATTTACATTTCATTATCTTATAATTACGAAGTTCACGTCAATAGTTTACATTTCATTATCTTATAATTACGAAGTTCACGTCAATTATTTTCATTTTTGGGGAGAATTGTGTCTTGTACGTTGCAGCTTGCTGCTGTGCTGGTGCCTATTAATTGCTTCATTACTTTAGTATTAGTTAGTTAATGTACGGCGCTATGTTAGTGTATGCGAAGCTACCGTAATAGTAAATGCATGAACCATGCAGCTACCGTAATGCTAGTTAGGTGACGGTCAATTGGATTAGTAATAGTTTGTCTGTTGTCGCATGTTTTACTTGTGGTACTCAATATTATGGTCGTTTGAACGAGTTCTCTGTTAAACATGGTGATATATTTGTGTAAAATAGATTTCATATTCATCCTTTGAATTCATCTATGCATTTACAATCGCTGCTGCTACACTTTGAAGTGCATTTTGGTAATTTTTTTCAGTATTTGCCTACGAAAAGGTGGTAGTGCTAAACGTTTGGTCGTATGCGGTGATTATTGCAAACGTTGCAAAATGCTTAATGTTACTTGGATGTGATAATCTTATAAGCCTTTTTGTTCACTATTCATTTATTGGATTCAATGAAGATCTTGCACTCTTGATTAGTTTGACTCAGTGGCAAAAATTCTTTCCTCTACTATCATGAATAATATTAAAAACATTTTTATAACGCAAAAAAAACAGTATTTTTACCAGGAAAAAAAAGACTGGCAAAAAAAGGATTTATAAATCTGTGTTGGCTAAACAAATGTCTAATGAAATGAACTATTTTACTAAATATTATGGTCAGTTCGAAGCGCCTGATTTGCGCTACGTGATGGTCGACATAGGTGCTTGGTTTTCGCAGTTGAATGCTACATCAAAACTTGCTCTCCGCCAGTACGTTAGTAGGACGTCGACTCGTCTCGCTCTATTCAGTGATTATTCTCCTCGCTCGTGTCTAAAAAGTTGCATTTTTTAGACTCACGACAATTTCTTTAGCGCTTTTGCCATATGGTTCAATTTTTATTGGTAACTTCACCTTGCTGGTTATGTCTAAAAAGTTGCATTTTTTTAGACTCACGACAATTCCTTTAGCGCTATTGCCATTTGGTTCAATTTTTTTGGTAAGGTTCACCCTGCTGGTTTTTTGGTGCTTCAGTCTTGTATTGATTGTAATATATTTTGTTTATTTCATTTTGACTTTGGTATACATTTGTATTGTTGTTCGTATTATTGTAATTATTTAACGTTAAGTGTTCCATAACTATTCATCTCCACTCACTATTTACGATTGAATTTTCGCCCTCTTATTTCCAATATGACACTGCGCTCTATTGCTTTCATTATCGTCGAGTTGTTAGTACTTAATCTCAGCAATCATTGTCTGATATACGCGTGCAATCATCCAGGTAATTGTAAAGAATATTACCCTCAGCAATCATTGACAACAAATCCCTCCCAGCCTCAGAATTGACGAGACCTAACCTAGCCTCAAAACTATGCATATTCTTGCTTAAATTGAAATATTCGGAAGAAAATTACTGAGAAGTCACCTGCTATTTTTATTCACTTTTATGTCCTCATTAAACTCTCGCAGGTCTTGTGTTTCGCTCGGCAGTTTAACATCAGAGTTAAAATCTCGGCATTACAGTTTAACTGATTACAGTACCGGTAGTCTCGCAGTTTAACTCTGTAATCTCTGCTTCCTCTGGATTGTCCAAAATTCTAACCTGTTTGTTTTGTGTTTGGGTTCTACCTTGATTAATCCCGGCTATCATTGAGAACTTCAACAAATTTTATATTTATTTTTATGTATTTTGTACATTATTTGACATTTTGTCTATTATTGCCCTGATCGTCTTCCTGTTTGTTTCATTAGGTACTGAGTAAATTGTAATGGTTCTTTTCGTACTAATCACCATTGTTGTACAGAGCAGAAACACAGGTCTCGGTGAACCCATCTGTCATTAAAAGGTTTCTGTGCGACGACGTAAGTCCTCGTCTTGCAATATCTACTCCAGGGGCCGTACTATCAAAAATATGTAAAAGTTTCTTTGGCAACTTATTAACTTATTAAGACTTTGTACCTTTGGCAACCTCTTTTAATGCTATAACCACCAATCACAGACGAGAAATCAGCCGCTACGTGCACTTGAGCCGCTACGTGTGCTTCTGATACGATTTTTGATAGTACGGCCCCAGAACTTTCTCATGAATCATACGCCCATCTTTATAATTTCTTTCTGTGTACCTAAAAACTTTTTCCCTCCAGCCTTGGTGTGCGTCTTCTTAATTTTTTTTTATCTTCGTACCAAAATCTCTTCCCTACCCAGGGTTCATTCTCGGATATTTTTTTTTTGTCTCCGAACCGAAAAATTAATTTTTTAATCTGTGTTCCAAAATTTTTTACCAACCCAGGGTTCATTTTGGACATTATTTGTTTTTATGTCTCGGAACCGTAAAATTCCTGATATCGCGAGTGTGACTCACTGACCCTTGACCTACCCACGCTAGCGTGAGCGACGTGCGCCTCGAGACGCGCACAGACTCACGCTCCACGCTCAGCGTGGACTCGAGCCTCGCGTCCAGCGGCGGCGGCGGCGGCGGCGGCGGTGGCCACCACCGCACCTACACGTGGACGCCGCCTCTGTCTGTCGAGGGCAGCACACCCACCTGGACCGAGGGCACCCCTAGCTTCACTGAGTCCTCTTCCAGTGGTGACTTAGGTGGGCGCGAGTCTAGTGGTGACCTAGGTGGGCGCGAGTCTAGTGGTGACTTAGGTGGGCGCGAGTCTAGTGGTGACTTAGGTGGGCGCGAGTCTAGTGGGTTCATGTGGAGATAAGGTTTACATGAAATCGTAATTCGTTACGGACCTAAATCTCTTGAGCATTTTATTTGTCAATGAGCTAAATAGTATTCGGTGAGCATTTCTTTGGGGCTGCCATTCAGGTGCAATCATAATAATTCCGTAAGGGATTAAAATAGTGTGGTTATATACTGTTGCTTATCTTTGAACGTGAGGAAGGGTAATTTATTTATAATACTCGTGATTTGTGTTTACGAACAACAAAAACTAGGAAGGAACTAGGCTTACGATGGAACTAGGCTAGGGAACACTTGCATGAAATACGTCACTTATAATGCACTGCAATGTAAATTATGAACTAGGCGAAGAAAAATGTGCATAAAGTCCGTCACTTCTAATGCACTGCAGTCTCTGAAGTATTGGCGACATATGCGTGCACTGGAGTGTTAAATGTCGCTCACATTACGTACACAACGCGCGGTGCATTCCACTCAAATATCTACGCACACGCACACTGCATGCAATGCTTAATTTAATTAGCACGTTTCACTCCTTCGCATGAGTTGATTTTTTTTTCCTCTCTAAATGTTCTATCTTTTTGATTTGTAGTGGTGAAATATGACTGTCGCTTGTTGCATGCATAATACTTTATACAAGTATAATACTTGATTCAAGTATAATACCTTATACAAGTATAAGACTTGATCCGAATATATTATTTGATTCAATTATAATTCTTGATGCAAGTTTCATTGAAGACCAGGAAGTATTTCTTATTGAGAATTTTATTATTGTTTATCATAATTACGGTGAATCGGGAGGCTTTTGGTAGGATTTAAAAGTTCATGAAACTTGCAGTAGAGAGCATTTTCTAAACAACTATACCAATATTCGCATAAAATTTGGTGCGTGCAAAATATAATTGCATATATATGTGCCCAAATGGCGGTGAGAGAAAAATTCTTTCAGCCTACTTCTTCATTGCCTTTCTTATTTAATTGAGACATTAAAGCCGATGTCCATTACTCGGTGATATCCATTACCCATCGACAAAGCTATGTGGAGATTATTCGAGACATGATTTACTGAGCCATGGAATTTGGTTACGACAATTAAAATTATATCGTAATCTTAAAACTAACTCGAACTTCAATATGATTGTTATTTGCCATCATTGCATGTGCTTTTGAATAAATACGAGGCTCATATATACTTCAGGGTATCTTATCGTAGCTGTACTCACATTCACTGTTAATGTTTTCACTCTACTAACCACATCCTCGTCTGACATTGTATTGGACTGCAATGCTCACTGAACACTTGTTATTGATGCTTAATATTATTAAGACATTCCTTCACTTCTTGTAAATATTACTCTTCATCGTCTGTATAAATAAGAAAACAGCCTGGGCTTTTTAGATCTTCAAACTTGTCAGTGAAGTGCAATTGTAATTATTCTTTACTGAATGATTTGTCTTTCCTTTTTTCCATCAATCTCATTTTCTCATGAAACTGTACTACTTTGTAAACCGTTGCTTGTAATTTGTAAACCGTACATTTCACAAATGCTGCTTGAAATTGAGTGTATTGTTATGCAATTGTTTGACCTCTTGAAAATTGAATTTCTGGCTTAAATTTTTTTCATTTGATGAATTTTGTGCACGTTATGTGTGTGTGTTCGACTTACTGACTAGATAAATTTTTTTCGTGTAAGAAAATTTTTTTCTTGTAAATATAGCTAAATTATTATTCATTGCACTTCTAACCCTAGCCATCAGTTGAATTCTACACTCAGAGAAATGAAGAGACTTTGTCCTAATATCGATGCACATTTAATGAAAGTTTTGGTAATACTGACCCAGTTTGGTACTCAAAAGGGCGTATCAATGCCATGTTCGTTCTCTACTCGCGCCCATAGTAACTCTAACGCCCCCCATAGTAACTCTAACGCCCCCTCCCCCATAGTAACTCTAACGCCCCCCATAGTAACTCTAACGCCCCCCATAGGCTGCCCCAACACCCCCAGCCGTAGCCTCAACACCACCGTGGACTCTGCGCAGCACGAGACCGAAATGGTGAGTAAACTAACGCTGTTATCTTATCTGCCTCGTCACTATCTCCACTGCCTCATTACTATCTCCACTGCCTCGTCACTATCTCCACTGCCTCATCACTATCTCCACTGCCTCATTACTATCTCCACTGCCTCATCACTATCTCCACTGCCTCATCACTATCTCCACTGCCTCGTCACTATCTCCGCTGCCTCATCACTATCTCCACTGCCTCCACTGCCTCATCACTATCTCCACTGCCTCATCACTATCTCCACTGCCTCATCTCTATCTCCACTGTATCATCACTCCGTTAAGCAGTCTCCCTTTATAATATTTTTGAATTAATTAGGTTTTTCTATTTCCAATGGTAGTTAATCTGAATTAGTGACAATATAGGATGCAAGTCAAATCTCAGGTTGTTTTCTTTGGTTTCTTTGTCTTAAATATTTCTGTGAATTTCACACATCATGTTTTATTTAATTGAGCGATTTAAATTGCGAATGTAGTAGTTGGTAATTCGAAACATCGAATACTTTGTTACTCTTCCTCTTCTGCTTAAGTTTTTCTTTAACATTGCTCTCTCATTACACCAATTAAATTCTTTACCTTTTCTGACGCTCATTGTTTTTTCTGCCAATTTTGCATGTGAATATATTTTATATGTATTCTTTCTGCTCGATTTCATTTGTTGTAATTAGCAGATTTTTTGCATAATTCTTCATGTAAATTTTGCTCTGTGCAAATGATATTTCCAAGCTGCCGGCATGGCAATTTCATTTGAATTTTCATTGAAAAACGACGGATTGATTTCGTTCACTTCACACGAACTATTGGCAAATAACTAGTACTCTGAAAATTCAAAAATATGTATCCTTAATTCATTTAAAATTGACGCTCATTGTTTGCTGAATGAAAGCATATGCTAGAGTAATGACACTGTTGCTTGCTGCGCACCTATTAAATATGTCCTGAAAATACATATAATGTATGCATTGTTTACAATGCACGAGTTAATAGTTAACACTGCACAGTGCACAAAAAAAGCTATTCTCACATGCATTTTTCCGCACATGTATGCGGATTACGCTGACTCCTGCTTCCCTATGACACTCGGTTTGGCATTTTTACACATTTTATTATACTTTTCATACTTTGCATATTTGTTTATACTTTTTTTACTTCTACCCTATGCCAGTTTTATTAACGCTACGCCATGTTTATGTTTACTGCGTTTTAAACTTGACTTTTCTATATGCATCTAAATTCCTGCTGCCTCATATTTTTTAATGTGTCATTCTTCTTTGCAATTGTGTCTTTACTTTTTTGAATACTTTACTTTACTTTTGAGTTTTATTTTGCAATTAAAACCGCACCGTTTTTTTAACCACGCACTGTACTAGAAGTCCGTCATATTTCTTGTATGCACCGCAATCGTTACCTGCCCCATAATCGTTACCTGCACACAATCGTTATACCTGCACCATAATCGTTACCTGCACACAATCGTTACCTGCACCACATTTACCGCAACGATTCCTGTTTTTCCCGCCGTGGTTACATTGAGTATCGTAGCTTTTATTTAGCATTGTTTTGCCTCAACCCTTTCGCGGGCCAGCATAGATGGAGAAATTTTAATTTTCGGAGTAACTACGAGAAATTATGGAAAATTATATGATAAATTTACCCCAATGAATTTTTCAAAAAATTTTATAGTATAGGAGCAAATAGCAGATGAAAATTTATAAAAAGCTGTCACTACGCTAGAATAAAATGACATTTTATCAATTTATTCATGCAAATGCTAAAGGAAAACAACCAGCTGCAATTTGATTTAATATTCTCAAGCTACTTTAGATTTACTAAATTGATACTGCTTCTTGCGATTTTTTAAAAAATGATGAAGGAGCGTCAATTGATTTGCCCAAGTCAAAACTTTCATTTAAATTCTCATATTTTAATCCCTGGGCATGGCAATGGGTAAAGACAAAAGGATCCTTGGGCAGATGATAGGTGATTGACAGTGGCATTCGGTAGTATTAGCCTCAAACCAGGAGACGAGCTGTTTTTTTTTTTTTTTTTTTTTTTTTTTTTTTTTTTTTTTTGAGGAAATTTCAAGGGATCATATTTCGTAGCTTGCCCGCTAAAGGGTTAAGATTGATTTAAATTTATTAATCTATTTTTCTATATTTATCTATAATTTGTTACTTACATTACAAGTTGAATAGCAATGAAATTGTATTTCTTAAAGATTGCTTTTTTGTTTATTTTTCTACTATAAAAAACTGACGTTTGATCTTGATAAGTTTCAGGAGTTATCTGGAACTAACTAAAGCAGGGGCTGTGAACTTGTACCTTATTTGTTCCAATTTTAAATTCAGGCTTCGAAGCCAATAGTTAAAATTATTGGCCACTTGTCTTGACCAATAATCCAAAATGTTTGTTAATTCGCTGCGTGAACTTTGGAGTTATTTCAAGTATCGTTCTACTTGTTTATTATAAAACTAACACTTCTGCTCAGTTCCAATTATAGGTGTTTCTTATTTATTTTAAAAAACCCGTAGAGTTTCATTATCGCTCTGAATTTTCAAACTTATCTCAATGCGTATTTATTGTTCCATGATACATGAAAGCTAAATCTTCCATCAACGCAACGCTTAGAATATATGAGCCCACCTTTTTTAATTATGTATTGTTGCGTTCTAATCATAAATTTCGTCGACTTTAAGTTTCAACACAAATTAACGTATTACTCAGGTCCAAAATTCATTTTCGTTCGGTAAGCAACAATTCTGCCGAAATTTTTTCATTTTATTTTTTTCAAAAATTTAACAAAAGAACGATGAATGAAGCCATCATTGTTCGTATAGCCGCAGCATGCTTGTCTCGTGAATTTCTCCGAGCATATTTGAAAATATTACACAATTTTTTTATCTATCGGTTATGGATAAAAATTATCTCCATGCAATGTTGTTGTATTTTTATTGTGTGTTACGTGCACGTCTAAGTGGTTATATGTTGTACCTCGCATCCATAGAGACGCGTCGAGCAATTCGTCTGAGTGAGTTGAAAGCCTCGTGAATTTTTTATTTTATTTCTTGTCAGTAGTAACATATAAACTCTTATTTGGTATTATGTTGCACGATGATTGCACAAGTCGTGTCAATTCAAGTACTGCTAATACACGAATTGGTTTGCCGTACTGCGTATTTTTTTGAGAAGGTTTGGTTTTAGTAGCGTCATCGTCTGTTGTTTTAGTCATAGAACATATATAGGGTATAGTTAAATGTCGTTATTTTGCTGTTATTCCTGCTCGTATTTGATTCTGTTTATCACTTATGTGCTAAGCTGTTCTATTTCATGTTCTATTCACTATATTCACTACTAAATTTTTAGTTGAAATTTTACTTATATTATTTGACGGATGCTCTGAAATTAGCGCACAAGTTCTTGATAATTTGTATCTTGAAATTTATTTATTCAACCTTATTTGCCAGAATATTTATGTCGGACCTCAGATCATCGTATGTGTGGAATTAAATATCGCATCGTATATTTAAAAGCTATCAAAATTCTGCAATGTTATGCTGGAGCAGATTCTTTTTTTTTAATTGTTTTAGTTTATCTTGTATTTTTGTAGACGCTGAAATTGATTTATTTATTATATTCGGTTTGCGATCGTAAACTTAAAATTATTTAAGTTGTTTCCTTATTGCTCATTATCATTATTTTTTTTTGTATTTGTATATTTTCTTAACAAATCCGAAATGGATACGAATTCTGTTCGTTTAAGTTACGTTACAAATGACATTTAGTTTCCTTCTGATGATTATAAGTGTTACAAATTGCGTTCGTTGTATTCTTGTGCTTCTTTATATTTGATGCACGTCATTTTACTACATACATGTGCAGTGCAACAGCTTGCAGTCACTGCCATAAGCTACAATGTGTTTCATTCCATTTTTGCCTAAATGTTCATTATTTTTTTTTGCCAGTTTGTTTGTATCTATTTTAATGCTTTGTATTTTATTGAAGTCACAAAGGAAGTCGTTGTTCTGACCATCATGATATATTTTACCGCTTATAGATTTATTTGTGCACAATTTATTGTATTTTTATGAATTTTTCATCAACTTTTTGCATCGAAATAAAGTGCCCAATAATAAAATACCAAAGTATAAGTTTTATCCGTGCTTATACCAATGAGTCCATGGAAAATATTTCTCTTCCGGTGCACGATTTATCCTCCGTGCAGTGAATGCAGTGAATGTCTGCCAACGCCACGCCATTCATCGTGAACGCCACTTCAGTATGCGAGGTCTTCTCCCTCTATAACGCGCCTTCATCCACGCTTCATCGCTGCTCCGAAACTTGCAAATCGCGGAAGAAAAAATCGAAAACAACAGCAGCGAAAATCCTGCGCTACGAACATGAAAACCTGACGAGATTTACGCTAAGCTCGTTCGGGAAACTTTGAGGTTGTCTTCTACAAGCAACATTTCGGTATATTAGTAATGAAGAAAAAGCAATGCTTTGTATAAGAAAAAGTTCTCATGTAATGTTCGACATACTGGATAATCTAAATCATGTAATGATGTGAACATCGTATAAAGTATTATGCATCGTATGGCTAGTACATATAATTTGTTTTTGACCTACGACGCCTAGTGATCGCTTCTGTCTCATTTATACGTGGAAGCTTTAATGTCGTTACATCAGCTGCATGACAATAGGTAGAACATTCAATTGTTATGCTAATAATAATAACGGTTGTTGCTATCCAGCTCTCGAGGCATTCATTATAATTGTGACCCGGATTTAAAATTCAAGGATTTGATCTAGCACGCAACAGGTTAAAATTTCAGTGTATACTTCGCGGCCTGATCTGCAGTTTCTTGTATACTTGGATATGCAATTCAGTTTCAATTTCAATTTTTTATTTATCAAATAAAATATTCAAGTCATGTGATGTGTGTTGGTTAAATATCGATTATCAATCAATACTTTAAATCATTCATTTA